AGCAGGGCAGACGCGTCGGGTGGTGTGTAATACAGTTCAGCAGAGAAGTGCTTAGGTAGCGGGGGGATGGGGGCATGGTGAGGCTCAACTGCCAAGTCAGGGGGCTGGCAGCTAGCTCAGCCCGAAGAGGTTTGGCACACCCGAGCTGGCTCTGCAGCAGGTTCCTAAAATGGACCTCCTCGAGTTGCACTTCCTGTCCCCCATCTGTCCCGAGGCCGCTCTGTGTGAAGGACGGACAGCTGTGCTTGCGGAGGTGCTAGCCGCAGCCTAGGGTAGGGACAGCGGCCCCTGTGTTCTTGTCTCTGACCTTCCTTCTGAACCACCTCTGAGTATGCGCACTATGGACTTACCATCCAAGCGTCCCTGCCCAGCTGGTGCCGTGACCCCTTGCTCGGGAAGTAACGTCGCTCCATCTCTCCTGACCTCCACATAGACTGTAGTTCTGTCTGTCTTACAGTGGCTCCTGTCTCTCTATCCTGTGGACTGGCTGGTGCAGGAGTGTAGGTCTGTCTGTCTTACAGTGACTCGCGTCTCTCTCTCCTGTGGACTGGGCTGGCTCAGGGGTTCCATCTAGGGTCCTCCGTCCCTGGACCCGCCAGTAACCGTGTCATACACCCACTGTGAGACTCAGGGCAGCCTACAGGCCATCCATCCCTCGAGTACCATCAGCAGACAGCCCCCGGGAGGACCACTGACTTGTCCTGCACCTTTAGGAAATTTGCATGAGCACCATTTTTTGTTTGCTTTTGCTTCTATTTGCTTCTGTGGACCTTTTTTCCAATTTCCTCACTGCCATAAAGGCCGCCCTCTGTGCTTAGATGGGAAGTGACAGGAGGTGGGGAACAGTGCCCTCCACAGGTAACCGCGTGGTCCTTTCATGGCCTCTCTACCCTCTCTTCTGATCTAACAGGAAAGAATACTGATTAGGTTAGGAAGGGCAGAACAGAATGGCCCATGGGCTCCACAAACTACATAGATTTGTAGCGGGTCAGCGGACAGCTGTGTGGCAGTCTAAGGGTTCCCTGGCTTGTGGTCCCTAAAGCTGTGGCCCTGGGGTGTGACCTAAAGGCAGTGCGTTCATTCCCTAGAGATGTTTTAGGGGTTGACTTGAAGCTCTGAGGAGCTCTCTTACGTTCTCTGCCATCACAGAAGTAAGGATGTCAATACCAGGTCCTTCTCCGGTTTCCCTGATTGTCCTCCCTGCTCATCCTGTCACGGGCTTCAGGTTAGAAGCTTCTGCAGAAAGTTAAGGTCTTCCCAGTGCAGAGCCCCAAGGTTCCCTGGCTTGCTTCTGTCTCCCAGGGTCACCCTGACTACGCCTCTGCCTCTGTACAGTGGCCAGCAGAGCACAGGGGGGCACCTCCCTGCTGTGTCCAGTCACAGAAGAACTGGGCTGTCAGACTCGGGGTTGCTGTCCTGGACACCGGTCTGGGCATAGCGCCCCCTGCAGGTTAGGGGCAGAGCTGGGCAGCCTGTGTAGAACCTGTCTACCTGGATCATTAATTACCCTTCCATGTCTTGACACTTGCAGATTGTTAGAAGGGGAAAAAAGAACATATGAGTCACGTGTTCTAAATATTTACTTTGAGCAGAGTGTACCGCATTTCACACTTCTGTAGCAGTGTGACCACGCCGTTCACAAGCTTAACAGAAACCGAAACAAAAATAACAACCCCACAGTGCACTAGGGGCTAGGAATGGGGCACAGACAGGTTTAAGTTTTCTAATGGGCATGGCAATCCTATTGCATTGTATTTATTTGGAGGAACAGCACATGCTACAGTACGCCTGTGGAGGTCAGAGGACAGCCTGAGGGAGCTAGTTCTCTCCTACCACCACGCGGGGCCTGGGGTCACCTTTATGCGATGAGCCGGCTCTCCATCCTTGAACTAGTCTTTTTTGCGCCTCCCTGTTTTTCTAGACTATATTAGCTCCATTTGGGAGAAGGTCCAGAGGTGCCTGGCTTGCCCATGGAGCCCATATGCCTGGCTGAATGGGGATCTTACATGAAATGTGGATCAAGGTCGGATGTCAAGTCCACCTGAAGCTCAGGTGCATAGACCCGTGGGGTGACAGTGCATGACCGCCAGGTAGCTCCAGCCCACACACTGCCCCCTGGTGGTCATCATGGACATGGGCTACGTTGGCCTGGAAGAGCAATTCTCTAAGCATGGTTCAGGGATCCCTGAGGGTCCCCAACACTTTTCAGAGACCCCTAAGACCAAAACTATTTCTCCTCACCATGTGACCTTTGGCCTCTTCCGCAAACACTGAGAAACAGGAAGTACTCAGATGTGGCTTCAGAAGCTGGGCTGGAACTAGTTTTTAAGCGAGTGCCATCTGTTGAGTTTCAGTGCGGAAAAGCACACACCATTATCTGGGAAAGCTATTAGACTACTCCTCCGCCTTCCAGCCATCCTCCACAGCCGCGAGAGCCTGGGTGTCTTCCACGTGCTTCACCGGAACAACAGCTCAAAGGTTGAAAGAAAAGGCCAACAAGAATGCCCAGCTGTCTTTAAACCCCAAAGCAAAGTGAACTGTAAAAATATAAAAGCAATCTCTTTAATTGGAGTTTTTAGATTTCTCAGTAAAATATCAATAGATGTAACTCATATTTTGGAATATTCAAAAGTTTACATTTATTTTTCATCATGTGTGTAAGATGATGTGTACCACGGCACAACTCTCTGGAGTTGGTTCTCGTCATCCACCAGATGTGGGTCCTGGGGATTTGAACTTGGGTCATCAGTCAGGCTCGTGCAGAGAGCTCTTTACCTCCTGAACCGTCTCACTAGCCCCCAGAGATTGCTTTGTGATATCTATTGAGTTGGACTCCTCCTATTGGAATTATCACCCTGTCTAATGCCAGAATATTTCATCAGCCCACAAAGAAACCCTAAAGTCGTTAGCTGTCACTGTCCTCCTGTGCCAACTAATGACCGCTAATCTCCTATCTACCTGTAAATTTGCCCGTTCCAGACACGTCCATAACCAGCCTCATTCAGTATGTGATCTCTTGTACAAGCCTGCCTTTTCCACTTAGCTTCGCGTTTTCAGGGTTCAACCATGTTAGAGCAGGTGGAGAACTCTTTCATAGCAAACTAACATTCTGATGTATGGACAGGGCACACGTTATACCTTTATTAGCTGGTGGATGTTTTAGCTGCTCCTGCTGTAGGGGCTGTCAGGAATAACGTGACTAAGAACGTTTGTACACATGTGTTTGTAAGGACATATGTTCTCAGTCCATTGTAGTTGACATCTAGGACAGCTGAGTTGTTGGGTCATGTGGCAAGTCTGTGGTTAACATATTGAGGAAATAGCAAACAAATTTCCAACCTTGCTGTTTTTTCCCCTCTACTTAATTCAATTACACAACTTTATTGGTAGCACGTAAACATACATTTCTTTATTTACTGTTTTTATTGTGCTATACATTTTTCTCCTCTTCCCTCCCTTCCTCCCCTGTCGTCTTCTACCCTTTTCTGGGACCCCCACACTCCCAATTTACTCAGGAGATCTTGTCTTTTTACCCTTCTTATTTAGATCCATGTGTGTCTCTTAAGGTCATCTTTGTTGTCTAGGTTCTCTGGGGTTGTGGACTGTAGGCTTGTTTTTCTTTGCTTTATGTCTAATAATTTCTTACGAACATACTACATTTGTCTTTCTGGGTCTGGGTTACCTCATTCAATATGTTTTCTTCTAGATCCATTCATTTGCCTGCAAATTTCAAGATGTCATTATTTTTTTTTTACCGCTGAATAGTACTTCATTGTATAAATGTACCACATTTTCTTTATCCATTCTTCATTTGAGAGGCATCTAGGTTATTTCCAGGTTCTGGATATTACGAGTAATGCTGCTATGAACATAGTTGAGCATATGTCCTTGTGGAAAGATTGAACATCCTTTGGGTATATACCCAAAAGTGGTATTGCTGGATCTTGAGGTAGATTGTTTCCTAATTTTCTGAGAAATTGACATACTGATTTCCAAAGCAGCTGTACAAGTTTGCACTCCCATCAGCAATGCAGGAGTGTTCCCCTTACCCCACAACCTCTCCAGCATAAGCTGTCATCAGTGTTTTTTATCTTGGCCATTCTGACAGGTGTAAGATGGAATCTCAGAGTTGTTTTGATTTGCATTTCTCTGATGGCTGAGGATGTTGAGCATTTCCTGAAGTGTCTTTCAGCCACTGAGATTTTTCTGTTGAGAGCTCTCTGTAAACATTTATTTTTAACACATTGCTATAATGTAGGGAAATTGTATTGATAGGGATGAGGAACTCGTAGCAGTCACTCTCCTGCCAAGCCCATTGTATGTTCACATATGTGTCAGTGTGGTTTTGACCAATAAAGATAGAATTGTAGCATCCATACAACTTTTATCTCAGGGCAGGAGGAATTCAGTAAGTGCGAAATTTTATTCTGAGTTAATATCCATGCGTTGTTTCCAGACAAAGCTCCTGTAGTGTGATGCAGTAGTGTCTCCTTCTCAGGAGAAGAAACCACCCCAAAGGCAATTGGAAAGCTTGGAGAGCAGAGCGAAGCCTTGATGACAGCACCGCCCCCCCCTCCAATATCTATGCTTTAAAAAATTATTCTCATGCATACATGTACTACATGCATGCAGTGCCTATGGCAGCCAGAAGAGGGCACCAGACTCCCTGAGAGTGGACTTGTCGACTGCCCTGTTAGTGCTGGGAATTGAACTTGGGTCCTCTGGAAGAGCAGCCAGTCCTCTTAACTACTGAACCATTTCTTCAGCTTTCCCCCTTAATAATTTTTATAGAATATAAATGGATTCTGAATTTGCAGTGCACTGGACTAGATTCACTTAAAGCTCATCCTTGTGAACACTGACCCAAGTTCATCTCTTTTCCTCCCCAGCGTGTGCGCACACACAAAAGTGCACACGCACACTCGCTCCCTTTAGAAGGCACAGACAACATCTTCGTAATAAACAGTCCTCTGGAGGAAGTAGCGGGAGTGCTTTCTCTTCCGGTCTCTTTGGCCTCGGCGGCAGAAGCGAGATGACGAAAGGAACGTCATCCTTCGGAAAGCGTCGCAACAAGACGCACACGTTGTGCCGCCGCTGTGGCTCTAAGGCCTACCACCTTCAGAAGTCTACCTGTGGCAAATGCGGCTACCCTGCCAAGCGCAAGAGAAAGTATAACTGGAGTGCCAAGGCTAAGAGACGAAACACTACCGGGACTGGGCGGATGAGGCATCTAAAAATTGTCTACCGAAGATTAAGATTCAGGCATGGATTCCGTGAAGGGACAACCCCTAAACCTAAGAGGGCAGCTGTTGCAGCATCCAGTTCATCTTAAGGATTTCAATCTGTCATAAAATAAATGTTCTGGTTTCCAAAAAAAAACAAAAAAAACAAAAACCAGTCCTCTGTTCAGTAACGCACAGAAAGCCGGCTAAAGGGTCCCTTCCCTGCAGAATTTTCAAGGATAGCCCTGTGGACAATGACTTTTAAAACTGTGCCTAGTGGAGGTGCTGGCGCCTCCTTAGGCCTTGGCCTCAGAAGAACACTGTGGCTTTGGTGGGGACTTTTTGGGGAGCAGAGCATAGCACTGTGAGCTGCCTTTCCAATCCCACGGGGGAAGGCGGAGAATCATGGGTTTGCCTTGGTGTCTTGCTGTCTCCTCATGGGCTGGCCCTTGGGGGTGCACTGTGTGAGAAAGGCAGGGGTTGGATGCCCCGCGGGCTACAACGAAAGTTGCTGAGATGACAATTAAGATAGTCATCAATCTGGCTGCAGGGCAAGGCCAGTTCAGGTACCCTCTCCACTATTGCTTAGGGTCTTTGCTGGGGTCATCCTGTGGATTCCTGGGAATTTCCCTAATGCTAGGTTTCTCGTGAGTCCTACAATGGTTCCCTCAATCAAGGTATCTCTTTCCTTGCTGTCCCTCTCTGCCTTCCCCCATCTCAGCCAATATGTTCCCTCATGTTCTCCTCCCCACTTCCCTTCTCCTCTCCCTCTCCCCTTCCACCCTTGCTTCTCCCCACTCCATGCTCCCAATTTTCTCAGGAGTTCTTGTCTATTTCCCCTTCCTAGGGGAATCCATGTATATCTCTCTTAGGGTTCTCCTTATTACCTAGATTTTCTGGGGATTTTGGACTATATGCTGGTTATCTTTTGCTTTACATCTAATATCCAGCAACTGATGGAAGCAGAGGCAGAGATCCACAGCCAGCTCCCAGAGTCCAGTTTGAAGAGAGGGAGGAGCGATAATATGAGCAAAGGGGTCAAGACCATGATGGGGATACCCATAGAAACAGCTATCCTGAGCTAGTGGGAGCTCACTGACTCCAGACTGACCGACTGGGAGCTTGCAGAGACCCAAACTAGGCCCTTGGAATGTGGGTGACAGTTGTGTGCCTTGGGCAGTCTATAGGGCTACTGGCAGTGGGACCAGGATTAATCCTTACAGTTTGAACTGACTTTTTGGAGCCCATTCTCTTTGGAGGAATAGATATATAAGATATAAGGGGAGAGGGCCTTGGTCCTGCCTTAAAGTGACATGCCAGACTGTTGACTCCACATGGGAAATCTTACCTTCTCTGAGAAGTGGATGCAGGGTGGGGTGGGTAGAAGGTGGGGGGAGCAGAAGAGGGAAGGGAGAGGAAACTGGGATTGGTATGTAAAATGAGAAAAGATGGTTTTAAAAAAAAATACAAAAAGTTGCTGAGTGCGTACCTTCTCGTTGTTGTCTTTCTGATTCTTGCCCTCTGATGTCCCTTCTGCTCTGGGCTCTTTGTCACGTGATGTACCTGGCCACCTAGTCCAGGAGCTTTGCCGAAGGCCCTTGCTGGAGGAGGGAGTACAGTGGTCAGGGGGACCCCGCCTGCCATCAGCTTCCGGCCTCTGACGTGCTCTTTCCTGTCCTCCTTGTCTCAGATGTAACTCCCGCCTCAGGCTGTGCTCCCTGCCATGGCTGACACCATCTTCAGCAGTGGAAATGACCAATGGGTTTGCCCCAACGATCGGCAGCTTGCTCTGCGAGCCAAGTAAGTAGTTTGTGGCGTGCAGGGTGGCCCTTCCTTCTCCACCTGCTGCCATCCTCCCAGGCCTTTGCAAGGTCTCTTCCCAGAAGGACGTTTGGAGAGAGACGGCGGGTACGTGCACACCACTCGTGGCCCACGCTCATTTATTACCCACGGTGGAGAACTGACTTGTCCCTATTTCTCAGGAAAGGGAAGTGAGGCCTGAACGTCTTGCCCATGTCACTGATGAGCGGCTGGGTTGGGACCCACATCTGAGTTAGCTGATCCCAAACCTGTGCTATAACACAGCAACCCACAGGGAACAAGGCCTCCCCCATTGGCTCTGCTCCTGTCCCTGATGTCATAGTGGGACAACACGGATCACAGGCTTGTTCCCTGGATGAATGGATCTCTTTGGCAGAGACCATAGCTAGTCCACAGCATCACTCCTTACCCTTAGCAGGCTTTCTGTCCCTCTGTGGTTCCCTTGTTCCCTTTGGGGTTGGGGGGTGTCTTGACTTTCCTGTTAATCCTCAGCCTAGTGACCATTCAGTTCCAGTTAGGTCTGCTTCCCACCACACCCCACACACACTGTGCACCTGTCACTGAGCCTTCCAGATGTCCTCTTGCCTCCCAGTCTCTTTCAGCTCTCTGGTGGGTGCTGTCCCTGGCTCTGATAGGCAAGGAGCACCCTGCAGCTGTTAGGCTGTGCCGTACCAGGAGCCAGCATCTCCCAACTGGGACCAAGTTTAAGAAATTTGCAATTAGACAGTATGAGCCTGCGGGGGACAGGGCTGAGACATCAAAGGCAGACGAAGCTAATCTGAGCCGCTCAGGAAGAGTGGTGTCACGTGTTACATGTGAGCATCCTTGCTTCGCAGCTGACTTGTTCCTCTCCTCTGGGTGCCTCAGCACCCCCCACACAGGGAGAGTGACAAGGGATGCGCATGGTCCCTCTACCTAATCTCTGATGCCAGGCTGTTGCCGTGTCCTCCCTGGCAGGGCCCAGCTGTCCCTTGACCCTCCAGTGTCCCCTTCATTTCCAACTTCAACTCTTGCTCAGCAGCTGCTGAGAGCCGCCATAGCCTTTCAGAAAAGCCAGTGTGAGGGTCTCCTCCTGGGTGTGTGTCTAAGGGACAGCTGTAACGACACCCCACTGCAGAGCTGGGAGTCGAGTCCAGGGAACCCCTCAGGAAATCTGAAGAGTTTTCCAACTCACGCTCTTCCTACCAGGCACCCAGGAGTCCCTGAACATCCCTGAACTCATTTGGCCCTTTGAAATAGAGCAGAGATGGGGAGGGGTGAAGCTTGCTGTGGTTACCTAGGGATGTGCAGTTCAAAAGATTGCAATGATTGACAGTGGGCTAGGGGCAGGATACTAACTGGGTGCAAGACCAAGAGAGACTTCCCTTTGAGTGTGATGCTTCTGTTGTGAGAGAAGTAAATGTTGTGAGGAAACAGGGAACGTTCCAGGCCTAGGAAATAACATACGCAAAGGCCCTGAGGTGGAAGAACCACGGCATACAGAGAGGCTGACAGAAGGCAGGTGTGGTTTGAGTGCAGAGTGTGGGGGTACACAGTGAAAAAGGCGAAGAAGTGGCTGTTACCAGACAGGATATGGCCTGACCCTCCAAGACCCCCCTACAAGACTGGGAAATGGTGGGTCCCACCTTGCCTCCTAACAATGCTGACACCGGCGATGGGCACAAATCCACACTTTACAGGAATTCTCATTATGGACTCCGAACCACAGTGCCCAGGCTGTGTCTCCACCATTCTCATGGGGGCTTTGTGGGCACCCCGGGGTCCTGCCGCAGTGGGCAGCCTCGTCTCCAGCCTCACTTTTCCTCCTAAGGCTGCAGACAGGCTGGTCTGTACACACCTACCAGACGGAGAAGCAAAGGAGGAGCCAGTGTCTGAGCCCCGCGGAGCTGGAGGTCATCCTGCAGGTTATTCAGAGAGCAGAGCGGCTGGACATCCTGGAGCAGCAGAGGATCGGGTGAGCCAGTCAGCAGCTCCAGCAAGAAAGCCAGGGCATTGAGCAGGGAGGCTGCAGGGCGTCTGCGGGGTACCAGTCAGCCACAGTCAGCTTCTCATCCGGCCCCCTGGAATGTAGACAGCTGGGAACTGGGTATTATACTGATCCAGGACCCCCAGGGCTGTGGGAATGAGCCCAGGGAGCAGTTTGGATTTGGTCTCTGCGTATCCCCTGCCAGCTGCAGCTCAGTCAAGGGATGCACTCAAGTGGAGGCTGTTCATTGCCTCGCCCTACCATGGGCCCAGCAGGAGGAGCCCTCCAGTATGTCCTCAGCTCCTCTCCTGGTCGCTAACACCCAGGACTCAGCCATCCACCCTTTTGGTGTGCCTTTTTATTGCTGTTTGATTTGGAAGACCTCAGGAAAGTGCAATTGCACTCCGCTGCTTTGGGCAGGAGCTCGGTTTGTCCTGATCTTGTTATTTTTCTGTTCATCTTTTCCCATTAGTTCCATGATCATTTTTTAAAATCAGACACAGTAGAAAGGCCGCTTTAGATGGCGCTGGTCCCACTAGAAAGATGACTGCCGCGCCAGCGGCCTCTTGTATGAGCCTCAATCACACAGACAGGCCATTATCGTGTCAGTGCAAATAGGGATTACGTCAGAACGGCTGGGTCTTTTTTTCATCTAACCTGACTTCTCGCAGATCGCTTCCCCAAGGGTCCTGCCAGGCTCTGAGCTAGCAATAAATGCTGGAGATCGACCCCCACCCCATTTCCAGGATAGTGAGCAGGGGAGGCTCCTACCAGCTCCCCCAGGTTGTGGAAGCACTTTTAGATGCCCTCAGCCAGCAGGCCATTGTCTCAGGAAGTCCCTTTCATGGTCTGGTGTCACCCTAAGGGCTGAGCTGCAGGCATTAGGCCCAGAAGCAATACTGCATGCCGAGTCGTGTAGAGAAAGTGTGTCCTCTATGTGAAGCTTGGATACATGACATGGATTGACAAGAGGGTTCCTAAGAGCAAGCGGGTCATGCCAGGCTAGAACTGGGTTTTCCCCCAGGCCCTACAGGTCCCCAGATGAACAACAATGCCAATATATGGAAACCAGAGGTGGTCACTGTGGGGCATGCAAATGGTAGTGGCCTCACCGTGGGGCGCAGAGGGGAATGGCTGCACTGATGAGCTAGATATCCTGTGTCCCCCTTAGCAACATCCTATCACCTCAAGAAAGTACAGGCCTGTGGTGAGGGGGGCCCTTACCAGGCAGGTTTGGAGGTGGACCCAGGCTCTTCTTCTTGGGAGCTTCATGACTCAGCAAGCCACTTCCTGTTTCCTCGACTCCAGTCTTCTCCGAAGCAGG